TTTAGGGTGTGATATGGGGGCCTTAATCATTAACATAGGGTTCCTTTAAAAAGGGAACTATAAGTATAAGGGTTAATACAAGGTTTTATAGTTTAGTGTAGAGGCCTTAATAGTTGGAATAGGGTTTTGGGGCCCATGATACACTAATAATAATAATAATAAGGAACCCCCACCCAAAAAAATAGTATTGGTCATTATTTGGGCCCCTACATTAAATGAAAGCCCTACCAGTTTAGGGCTTCGTCTAGGGGTTTCTATGGGTTCCTGACAAGGTTCCTTGAAGGTTTGAATAGTGGTTTACAAGGTTTTGTACAAGGGCCTTGATAATTAGATTCAGGTTTGGGCTCTATTAACCTATAACTACACAAGGAATGCAAAGGGGTAGTATTTTTTGCAACGCCGCATAGTATTCGCACTTCATCTCTAACTAGTATTTCCCCTCAAGTGCCATAAATCTAGACGGCTGGTTCATGAAACACACCCCCTGACATGATTCTACTGTTAATGTCTTGATACGGCGCCAAATACTTTGGGAACCCAAAAGAGATCCTGATTGTTTGGACAACCACCCAGATGGGATATCAGGATCATTAACGTCCCTGCTAAGGTAAGGGGAGTATCAATCAGGGACCTGCATAAGCAATCTCCAGGCATCGGAAAAGTTATGTTATGTACTATATGGGCCTTAATAATAAAAATAGGGTTTAGGGGTCCCTACACCCTACACCTGCCGCATTTTACCCCGACCCTGAAGCAAAGTAAAAACTCCGTTTCACCAAGGTGCGCGACTTCCGCCCTGATCTGAGTCTGCCACCTTCAGCGTACAAGATTGCCAGCTTTTAAACGCTGTCAGGCGCTGAGTGTTCGGGTTGCATCGGGCTTTGATGAGGGTCTTGCAGGGTTTAGGAGTCTAGGGTTTAGGGTTTAGGGTTTAGGAGTTTAGGATTCAGTTCAATACTGTTTCACCTGCTTGGGTCAGGGCACCCGAACCCACTTTTTGTTGGGGGGCCTTCTTGCTTGGCTTCAGCATCCCGTACTGGACCAGACTTTGTTGGGGCCTTACAGTCAAGCTACAAACAATAAGTCATGGTATTGTCCGGCGCTTCGTAGTTAGAATGCGGGTGTGGGGTGAAATTAAACCATAGGAACCCTGAGAAACAATGTCACAAATCCTTCATTCAAGCCCCCAAACCCTCAACCCCAAATCCTATTTATTCTGGCTTCTACATTATTATGCACAGGCAGTCTCCAAGGTTTTGGGCTCAGGTTTGGTTTTTTGGGGCTGACGAACCAGCCCCTAGGCACTAAGACAGTTCACCAGGGGCCTCAATAATTAGAATAGGGTTCCTTTAAAGGGTTCCTTTAAAAGGGATACTATAAGGGCTACTATGAGGGTTTAGGGTTTAGGGGCCTTAATAATTAGAATAGGGTTCTGGGGCCAAAGATACTGTACTTATAATAAGGAACCCCAAAATAGTATTGGTAGTTATTTAGGCTCCTACATTGCCAACACGACCAACTCTAAAGGCGGCCTTCAGCGTTTCAAAAGTGTGTCGCATGGGATTTAGGGTTCAGGGCGTTCGGGGCGTCGAGTTGATGGGGCTTGATCCTTGAATGCATCAGCCTAGGGGGGGTTTAGGGTTTAGGGATTAGGGTTTGGGGTCCGGAGCTTTACAGTGTTGTTTTGAGAATGGTATGCAAGATTTTATCTACATCCGCTTGCAGAAGGACTGCTCTTTTCAGTGGAAAAGCCGAAACCCGACCACATCGCTGCAATAACCTTTCAATGACGTGTTAGGGCCCATGGCCGTACTCCGAAACTAGACTTTG